ACACATACACACTCACACACATACACATACACACTCACACACACATACACACACACACACACACACACACACACACACACTCACACACACACACACGTGAAACAATACACACACACGTGAAACAATACACACACCTGAAGCAACACATATACCTAAAGTTACTATTCTACCCGTAGTCTTGTCTTGCTGTCACACATCTTAAGTTTCCAATTGGAACTACTTTACTCCGTACATTTTACTGAAATACGTTAAATAAAGGCGAAAAAAAAAGTAATTCAGCAGTTTCCATGGACACTCCGACTTTAAAAGTCACCCAACTTTGACGCCGTCACCTCCATCAGTCGTAAAGATCCCGACTCCTTTTAGTTTAGTTTTAGTAGAGGTTTTACGGCGTTTGCAAACGCATAAGGTCACATGAAGCAAGAAGATTAGAAGTGTTACAAAAGAGTAACAAACATAAAAAAGAAGAAAGCGAAATAAGAACGATAGAAAAGAAGAAGCAAACCACACGAGAGCACCTGCCAACCACCCAGGATCACGACTCCTATTCACGACACATGTATTTACATCAAAGGTAAGTCAAGACAAATCCTCCAAATAAACAGGAGTGTACAAACAACCGGAGGACAATTGGTAGATCAAGTCAGAGCTCTATATACCAACAGCAGGAGCTCAGTAAGAACGGAGGAAGGCGATACAGACTGGTTCAAAGTAAGATCTGGAGTACGACAGGGATGGGTTCTATCTCAAACAACTGAAACGGGTGAAGTAGTTAAAATATCTTGGCAGCACTTTTCCTGAAAACGGGTCCATAGACAGAGAAATAGAAATGCGAACTCAAAAAGCCAACGCTGTCACCTACCAGCTCGCACCCCTTCTATCTCATCCAAACATCTCCATGGACACAAAGAGACAGCTTATCACCTCAATATTCATACCAACATTATGTTATCAGTGCCAGACCTGGACTTTAAGCAAAACCCATGAAAGCCTATAACACCAAGCACTCAGGCTATAGAGGAAGAGGAAGGCCACGCAAAAGGTAGATCGAGGGTGTCAAGGAAACCCTAACAAAACATAACATCACAACTGAAAGAGCTGCGGAGCTGGCCTACCATAGAAAACTGCATCTCCCCTCGACG